GTACCAAAAAAAAAAAAAAAAAAATCCATATGGCAAAGCTAGAAGTCTGATCTGTCCACAGTTACAGACCTAGGGCTTTACCCAACTCCTAGACATCTTCCAGAACCTTGTAGAAGCTACTTCAAATATGACCATAACTACTGTCCAGGCCACCATACCTCACAAGGCTTTGGCACATTGAACACGGAGACATTTGCCCTTCCTCCCTCACAACTCTGACACTTGATCACTTAGAATGATTCTTAGAACACACTGACTTTTTTGGTTGCTATGAGAGAAAATCATCGGAGTAACCATCCTGGAAATCTGCTGTGAATTCAAGACTGCTTAAGGTTCCAACAAGGAAATAATAAATTGACATCCTACAAAGCCGAGTCCTGCCCCTTCCTGTCTGCTTCACACGATAGGCAGGTGTCTGGGTAGAAAGTTAGACACCCCTGGCAGACAGAATTTCCTGCACTGTCTTCCTCTTGTCTGCCAGCTGGGTCCAGGTCGCTCTGCAAGTCGATGTGGGGAACAGCTGGTGTCTGTAAAGAGGAACAGTGGAGGAAGAACGGAGGCAGCAGACAGACATCATGCTGGGCCAAGGAACTGGGAGGCCCCAGCCCTGGGGACCAGGAAAAGGCTTAGGCGGAGAGCTGGCAAGGAGCAAGTCTGGGAAAAGGTGCTGAGAGCTTAACCCTGGCCTGGAGTTCATACCAATAACTCCATTCCAGGAGCTCTATGGAGCAAGAAGCTCATCTACTAGAAGGGCGAGATTCTTGGGCAAGACATAACCCTATTACAACAAGATGCTGAGAGAGGTTAGAGGTCAGTGCTTTACGGTTTAATTCTCTAGATTTGCATCTCAGCTCCACTACTTACTAGCTGGGTGGACTTAACCCTTCTAACCCAGTTTCATCATTTATAAAATATAGGCAAAAAGGCAACACTTACAATAGAGTTTCTGTGTTGATGAAATGAAATGATATGTGAAAGCAGCTAACATTATGCTTGGCAAAGTGTAAGCTCTCAATAAACATGAGCTATTACGATTGGTATTAGGAAATATTAAACCCTCTACACAGCTCTGTCACTTTGTACAAATGATTTCACCTCTCTGAACCTCAATTTTCTACCTTGTTAGATTTCTCTGAAGTCTGAATGTGGCAGATCCCACAGCCATATAGTAAATGGTCAGTGAATGGAATTCTTAAGAGTTCAGCAGTGTGATCGAAGCTGATCTCTCCTATGGATGTGTTTCTGAGTGCCGGGCTCAGAAGAAGGAAATTTCCAATGATATGGGACTGGGGCCAAAGGGACAGGTGGAAATTAATATGTCTAGCAGGTAAAGTCAGGGGATTGAGAAAAAGAAAAGTTCTCTCTTCCACTAAAAAACTTCCTACTGTGGAAGCTGGAGACCAAAACTAGAACTTGTTCCTGTACTGTGAGCACCCTGGGGAACTCCTGTGTGGGCTTCTGAAGACGTCAGGGATGATTGTCAAGGTTGGAGTCTCATCTATCACGGCTCAGTCTTTGTTACCAGAAAAACTGCTCTCCTATTTGCCTTGGGAATCTAGAGACAGAGAATTCCACACCCAACTTCCCAGGCTGGGTTCACAGTGAAATTTCTCCAGCTAGCTCTGGGAGGACTAAGCTCAGGGGTACCAAGGAAAAGGCCCTATTCATATGTACTATTCTCTTCTGAGAATTAGCCCTACATAGGAGAAACTGCAGGACTTGTGAGTCTGACAGATCTAGATTGAAACTTGGCTCTACCATTCAATACCCACATGGCCTTGGGAAAGTCTCATAAGTACCCTTAGCCCACATTGGTTCATCTGCTCAATGAGATTCAGAACATTAACCTGTCAGACTTGACGAGGGGATTCAAGAAGATAGCAGAGACCAGGTGTCTGACAGAGTGTCTGCATGTGTGGTAGTTCACTTTTCTCTGCTTCTCTTTTGCTATAAGCCTTTCTGCTGTGTGGAGTAGCTGGACAGAAGCTTCTGAGGATTGAAGTTTATTTAGAAGTTACATTAGGAAATTGAAATGGTAGAGAATGTGGTTTTAATTTGAGAAACCTCTTTTCTCCAAGTGTTAGACTTCCAGGAACTCAAATTTGAAAATATACAAACACCTGTGGGTAACAGAAGTAACCGCACCGAAATCATCCCTGGCACACAGTCCTTAAATCTCTCCAATCCTGACTTCACATAAGTTCTAACATGTGCCCCGCTTCCACCCCCAGCCATGTGTGTCTTTCACGGAGAATTGGCTGCTTCTTCGGGTCTCAGGGCTTATGTCACTCCCGCGGGAGAGAGACACTTTCTCTGACCTGTACACGGTTCTCCCTTAGGTCTGCACTACTTTATCACCTGTTCCACAAAGGTGACTGAATAGATAGTTGCTTAGATCATCACTAACAAATGGCAAGTCTCTCAGTGCAAGAGCTGTAGCTGTCTGATCTTGCTGTGTACATATGGCTTGGCTCAGTGCTGGGCACAAAGAGATGCCCCGTGTATACTGATCTCACTGGAGGAAGGATGCCTGGTCATCTGCATTCTGGTGCTGTAGCTAATAGGAGGAACGATGAGTAGAGGTGGAAGATGATAAGCTTCTCTATAACAAACCCAAACTACATTTATAATGTGGGTGGACAAGAAAAAAGGAAAGAAAAGAAACACATTCAGAAAGCAAAGCAACAATTCCGGGCCACTTAGTAGGGAGGTACTACTTAACTCAGGGCCCCAGAGTCTAGGAGTACTGCAGCTGAGCTCCATTCAGGACCAGAGGCAGAAAGGTAATTGGTGTTCCATACACACTGGAACCACAGTTACTATAATGATCTGAGATCTGCACCTGAGTCTCAATCTCATGACTTCATTTCCCTACCATGCACTCTGTAAAAAAAGTAACACATTTAAGGATAACACCGTCCTCCTCAAATATTTACAGCTTTTATTACATAAGTTACAGTATGTGGGAAAATTATTTTAATCAGAGCTGCACTTTCTCCAACTGATGGTTTAAGACAAGGTCATAATTCTATAAAAACTTCTATTTAAAACACCAACTTCACTTTCTATTCATTTTCAAAACAGCCTACTCCAATGGAGTGAAATTGACATTATTATATGATATATTCATTGGAAACAGGCATCAAGAACCTTAAAATGTGTACACCATTTAGGTCATTTCAATTTTAAGAATCAATTATACAGGAATAATTAGGGCTGTAAAAGATTTATGTGCAGAAATTTCATGAGCACCATTATTTGCAATACAAGAAACTGAAATAACTCAAAAGTTAAAATGCAAAAGCAAATGGGTACCAACATTATTGCACATGACAACCAAATAAGAAATAGAAATATAGCAAATGTACAGCTGAGAATTTTGCCCTAATATTAGACAGTTCTAACATATAATATTTCCTGTGCTAAGTAAAAGAAAAAAAAACAACAAAGGAACAGGATCCCAGATAGGAGATGCAGTGATACATACATGAACACATGCATCTTTGCACCAAACAAAATATACAGGACAAAATATCCCCAACAGAAAGCAAAATTTATCTTTGGACTCTAGGACAACACTGAACTTTTTTGGTCTCCTCTCTAGATTTTTCTAAGAATATAATATATATTGCTTCAAACTTAGAAAACATCATAAAATCTATTAATAAAGCATGAATTTTATTCTCTTATACCTAAGCAGAAGGTACATCCCTTCGATGTTCTACCAAAGAAATGGAAACCAAAACCAACAGAAGAGGAGAGGAGCTTAAAAGTATCACCTTTAGAGGACTGACTGACCACAGAGAGCCTTGGTGTCCTCATTTGTCAGCCAGTAAAAGTCCTCCAGCTTGAGTGTGTCCCTATTTATCCCTGTGCTCCAGGCTCATAGCATTTTTCTTGAGGGAACCGTCTCTCTTAAGGGGGCCACATATCAAGGGACTTGAACTAGACTCTGAAAGTCTTGTTCTGTGTTTGGCACTCTGCCACCTGGCACAAATCATTTCTCCTTTGTGAGCCTCCATGTCCCATGAATAAAATGAACAGATTGGGTCAGATCATCACAGAGAGCTCCTCAGCCATAACTGACAATGAGTCTTTACTTTTCTTATCTCAGAAGCTCAGTTCCTCATGCTTTAATATGAGATGTTAGAATAAATCATCTTGGTGATAGCAAGTGAATATAAACATAGAAAGAGCTTCATATTAACTCCTTCATTATAGCACTCTTCTCAGCTTGGATGAGCCAGGTTTTCCACCCCTTTACCAATGCTTGCCTAGTGCCCCAAACTTACATCCCAGCCCCAGTGAGGAGGAAAATGGAGGTGGCCACTTTTCCTATGAGTGGTTGATGAGCACCTCACTCCAATGCACCTGTTTGGTTTTACTACAAACAGCTAACTCACACTTTTGTGCATCCTAAGAGGAAAGGAAGAAAATCACAACTAATCCCTCTCCCCTGTGCTTCCAATTTTATAGATGGAAAATTAAAATAGAAGATAAAGTGCCCAAAGGCCATAATTGGTAAGTGCTTCGACTGGGAATGTCTCATTGTCCCTCTCCTCCTAGACTTCAGGCATGTTCCCTAAAGGCATATTCTCTCCATAACTTTGCACACTGGTCTCCTTGCTGGCTGTCTCCTTGCCCCTTCCCCTCATCCCTCAAGTTTTCATTACCACTGGCTCCGCAAGACCTTCTCTGATGCCTTCCCTGGCCCTCACAGCACAAGGTTCTCCCTTCTGAAAGTGCTTTCTGCTCCCTTTTTAGAATCTGCTTCTATATCTGGAAGCTTTGAGGACCACATCAACAAAGACCTCCCAGGGCCTAGCACATGACATTAGCTCAACCAGTGACGAAAGGATTAAAACATCGTATGAAATAAAGCTTGTAGACAGAGCACTCACACAACCAGGACAATGCGTCCTACAGCATGTGGGTGTGATCACGCTCAGCACACTAGAGAGGTGCACAGAGGCACCTACCAGCAACCCACACTGGCCTACCTTTTTGGTCTTCACCGTGGAGGTACAGCAATCCCCACCGTCATAGTTGCAGAAGGCTCGATTGTTGATGGCATCACAGTAATTGTCTCCCATGAAGGGCTGCAAAGAAGGAGAGAAACAGGAAGGAAACAAGATTGCATCAGCATTCTGGAGTGAAGGACCTGCCCTCAGTGCTTCACTGAGGCCCTTATGATTGTTAGCAATCTCACCCACCCCAGACCTCTATAGTCAGCCAGCTGCCTTTAAGGCTCAGACCCCTTTGGGTAAGTTGCGATTTTACTGTTTATAAACACTCTTTTCTGCCACACTTTCCCCAGCTGGAGTGTTGTTATGTTCAGGAAAATACTCGTGAATGCTAACGGGTGCAAAGCCATAGGCTAGATGGCTTCCATCTTCCTGAAATAGAAGGTTCACTTCACTTGTAGAAATGATTAGAAAATTTGAGCCCACTTCCCTCACTTTCCCTGGCAGTGAGTAATTAAAACACATAATTTATAATACAATATATGCAAATAAATATGGAAGTGGAATGTAACCTGCCTAGCATAAAATGTGAGAATTGTTAAGAATTATGCAAAGTAATCTGTAACCAATAGCAGAAGAACACAGGTGAATACAATGTTGCATGAAATACACCTTTGTTTCCTTTTTCTTCGAACAACCTTGGAGGTAGGCATTATTATTCTCACTTTACATATGAAAACCCTGAGGCTCAGAGTAAGAAACAGATTTGGTCAAGATTACACTGCAAATAAAGAAAACTGGTTTAAACTAATTTGGGTTTATGGGGTTTTTTTCCACCCTCATCTCACTGTTTTTAGGATGTTCCAGTTTACACTGATTTACCTTTTTTGTGTGTGTTCCTGAAACCTTGTAATCCTCCAGAGATAAAGAAAAGACAGTAGAGGGATTTGCTACTCATCTGAACAAAGAGCCATCCTATAGGAAATTGCAAGTCTCTCTGACTCCCCTACCACATATGTGTCCCATCTTAACAAGCAGCATACCATATTCTGTGGTCTGTTTATGTCTTCATGGCAGGTGCAAGACTGGGCTCCTAAGAATATGAGCAATACTGTGTTCATCTTTGTCTCCCAGTTACCTACTTAGTCTTCTGATCACCTGTCACCGTTTCTGATTAGAGTGCTGGTTGGGATTTGTAATGTCTTGGAAGTCATTGATGGGAAAAGGATATCATTATTTGTCTGGGACCATTGCGTCCCATGAGATGTCCTGTGGTTCATCAGTTTCTCCTTCCCTAGCTCTCAAGAACTACAATCCATGGAGCATCCCTGGATTTTGCATCTGTGCTCTAAATTCTCCTTCCTGGACTTTGTGCCCCAACTCAAGAGTCCAGGGTCCATTGTATCATGGCCTTGTTCGTGTCTAAAAATGATCTCAGCAAGATGGATCTAAGAGTGGGTGAGCACTGGGTTCAGCTTGTGTGCATGACCCACAGGGCTGTGAGTTCGGGTGTGACTCTTCTCTGTAACTCTCTTGATGAACAAACTACTGCACTCAGACTGGAGCAGTGGGCACGAACCACGCACAAAGGCTAAGAATGTTCATTTTCTGTTTTCCTCAGGAGGGAAGCCTGTGGGCTACCTTCTTTGTATTCTTCTTCATATGGTAGTATATGAACAGACTGATGAACTAGACCAATTGTCCCTTCCTTAGACTAAAAGCTATTGGCTTGGTAAAGGAGTAGCTGGAGAAGAGCAGAAAGAAGAGGAAAAAATAAGTGTTTTTTTTACTTTTGCTTCTGAAGAAAATCTCTAGTCTCATTTACTAGCTACTCTGACCTACATGCCTTTTCCTGTACCCATAAACATCCATCCATCTACACATTCATTCTCTTTTCTATTCCATTGCATATGTTTAAGGCCTACTGTGTGTTACACACTATGCTAAGAAAAACAATGCATTCTAGTAAAGAAAAAAGTCCTTGATCAAAGCGGCATGCATCTAACTGGCCAGTTTCTACTCTGGTAAGAACTATGATGGAGAATACATGATGCTGTTAGAGCATTTGATCTAGTCAGAGAGCTCTGAAAAGGTATCCCTGAGGAAATGACATTTCAGCTGAGATCACAAAGCTGGACAGGAGTTAATTAGTAGGGGAGATTTCTAGAGATGGGGAGTAGCATAAATAAAACTTTGCTATTTAGAAATTTCTTTCCTCTCTGCTATTTCTCTGTTGCTAGTTTTATTGATAAGGCAGGCAATTTATCCTTCAAGGCTAACTCAAATATTGCCTCTTTAAAGTACCTTCTGTAAGAGTCCAAAGATGCTCTATACTTTTACAGCTTTTTGTACATTCTTTGGTTATAGTGCTTGTACATTAATTTATGCTTCTTTCCTTAATTATCTATCTTTTTTGGTACACCTTAGGTTCCTTAAACAGGGAATATATGCCATTCATTTTTGTATTCTACACTTTCTTTGAAAAATATCTGGCAATTTGAGAAAAGCAATACATATTCAGTACATGTTTGCTCCATAAACTCCCAGGTAGATGAATGAATGGGTGGGTGAAGGGCTGAAGAACAAACAAAATCACAGATGGCTCAATGACTCAAGAAGAACTGAGCTACTGTTTTCACTTTAATAAAACCATGGTATTCTCAGAACTGAGAAGAGTGACTGGTATATAATGGGAACTCAGTGAAGTTTTGATGAACAGTGAAGGAACAGTCACGTTGGACACAATTTGTAACAGAGGGAGAAAGGCTCTGGAGCCTCCAAACCTCTTGTCTGTCCTTCCTACCTCTAAGATACTTGAGGCATGATTGGATCCTCTCTGATCTCAGAATTTGTTTCTCTGCTGAGCACACTTGCAGCTCCAGATAAGGCACAAACTATCAGCTCTAGGCTAAAGAGGCAAAGAGAAGATGAGGGACACCTCCAAGGGCAGAGGTGATAAGCATCATTGTCAGGACTTGGAGCCTGACAGGTGAGGGTCTTTTGGCCTTACTGCTGAGTCAAAGGAAAGATCGAATTCTGCTGTCACACAGGTTGCCCAGACTGCCGACTCAGCACAATGAGGGCCCAGGTAGCTCAAGCTGCCTTTTCTCAAAATGCTACTCTGATCAAAAGAGGTGGAAAAAAACAACAGCTACAAGGCTTTGGCCTTGTCATTGTTGGTTGAAGCTTCCCAGACTGCAATGTTCCCCCGAGAAGATGCTACATGGGGTCATCCTTCACCAATGCACAGAAAAAAATGCATGGCTCAGGGACTGTGTGGTAACACTTACAGGTCAGGGAATAGTTCCTAGGCAGGAGGTAACCTAGCACAGGAGCAAAAGCAGCAGCCTAGAACTCAGGAGCCCCTGGCTTATGGTTTTATCCTGTAGCCATCATGCTGCACAAATTTAGACCAGCTGCTCTCTGGCCCTCATTTTCCAGTCTATACAGCAAGCAAACAGAACTGGGGCACATGAAGATCCTTCCCAATTTTGGTATTCTATCCAGTTCTAGAACTGGCCACTGTCTGGATGGCTGATTCCCATCTTCAAAATAAAAGATTTGGCTGAGATGATCGAAAAGAGCCCTTGTGGTGCTAACATTGTAAGAGTTTCGTCAAGTGTTACAACATTTTCTAGGGTTTCATTTGGTCCCCTTTATCTGTATTTTCCTCAGTGGGCTTTGTCAGGGGTGGGAGAGAAACTACAGAGAGTTGACATCCATTCGGGAGGGAGTTTTGAGCCTCCTTTCCACTTTCATCTGAGAGTCAGTGGGCCAGAGTGCTGCACAGAAAGGCTGGGTTCTATGCTTAACCCTCCCTTGGGAACTCAGCTAAGTCCTAAGACCCTGTGCCACCCCTAATAACTTGTCGGTGATACACAGAGCCAGATCTCCACATTCTCGAGTCCAAAGAAATGCCTCAATGGTAAAGTGAGAGAAATTTAGGGCCAGAAAAGATCTTCCCCTTCAGCTCAGTGGTTGAGCTTAGGGCATCCCTATTACTTCCAAGGTTAAAAAATAAATGAATAGCTAAGATGTGGGTCAGAAACAACTGATATGTGAGCCATGATCATGAGTAAAATGGAAATTTAAAAATGTCTCATATGGCTCTGTTGCTTGGAATAATGCTAGTTGAATTCCCCCCATATTATAGACGCTAAACCAATATAGCCTCTTTCTCCTTCTTTCTTAGAAACCCAATGTTATACAGGTCACTGGTTTTGGAGACAGAAAAGCCTAGTTTGGAATTCCAATTCTGTTACCTATTAAGTATATTTTAAAATATATTTTTCATTTCTTCTGTGCTTCTCTTCCACCACTGAAAAGTGAGATTGTTGATTCCTGTCTGAGAAGTGTGCCAAATGGACATTTATAACACTTAGAAGGTACATGTAAAGGTTAACCATAAGAATATAACAATGACAGCATTAGAATTACTTAGAGAGAGCTGAAAAGTATTTCCTGTAACTCACCTCGCAGCCTTTGACACAGTGGATCAGAGCAGGATGAGGATACCACTTGAGACCAGCTGTGCAGACAACTCTCTGCAAAGAGATGGAGCAAGAAAAAGGTCAGAAGGGTTTGGGATGGGAGTGAGCCACCTCTTCTTTGGCACCCAATGTAAGCACCCCACGTCTTCTTAGAAATTTCAAGTACCGACCTCACCCTGGTATTTACATGGACAACTTGCCTAAGTGCTTGCACCAGCAGGTGCCATAAGATTAAAATAATATTTGTATTTAACGTGGGTGTCACCATTCTGTATTTCCCCGGAAAGGATCGAGGGTTGAGGAGGAGTAGAATTGGGAGGTGGAAACATGATCAGAAAAAACCTTTAGAAAAGTCTTAACTGGTCTTTGACCCATTGGTATAGTTGGGGATAAGTTGAGAGGAAGAAAGACTCTGTGTGTGTGTGTGTGTGTGTGTGTGTGTGTGTGTGTGTGTGTGTGTGT